CTCTGATTGTTAAATTTCTTATGCGTTATGTGTAAGAATACAAATCCACGCAGCGGAATAGTATAAAATCTGCGCTTTAGGGCTATTCCACACAACTTGCATAGTCGCATGAATATATGCATAAAGAAAATCATCCAATCATATTTTACGTTTGTCTTTATGACAGAAATGTGATTGGATAATTTTCTTTATACATATGGTTATGCTGTTATGCAAGTTTGTGTGAAATGGCTCTTAGAATACCGTCCCATGAGTAGAAATTTATAGCGGAACAAAACAGTGCGACCAATCAACTCTGCAGTCATTACTCTCCTTTCTTTTCTGCGATTATGATTGGTCTCATCGTTCCGTTCCGCTGTAAATTTCCGTTTATGGGACGGTGGCCTTACGGTGCTATTACATGAAGCGCAGAAATACGGAAACGCGGAAGATAAAGTTAACTAAATTTTATTAGATTTTTGTGTTTCCGCGCGTTCTGTTCCGCCTGTTCACCTAATATTACGGAGCACAATTTCCACGGAAAAGCAGAACGATATAATAACAAATACACTTTTATATTTATTTTAAAAAATTGTATTCACTTAATTCATTGTAATTTTTATTAATACGCTTATCTTTTCAGATTATGCATTGAATACAAGCATTTTAATCAATACATACATTAAAAATTAATCATTTTTAATTCCCCGTTCCGCTTTTCCGCTCAAATTGTACTGCATGTAATATTAGAAGATCAAAATAGGCAGAACAAAACACGCGGAAACGTGGAAATCTAGTAAAGTTTAGTAAAAATTTTGTTTTTCGCGTTTCCGTATTTCCGCGCTTTATATGAGGCCGAGTTCACACCTTGACGGAAAAGCGGAAACAAACCGAAGTAATAGTAGGCAGTACATTCTGCTTATCTGCTTCTGTCTTTCCACGAGTTCTCAATGGCTTCTGCTTTTCTGCTTTCCCTCTTTCTGTCAAGGTGTAAACCCGATCTAATGGCACCTAAGATGCCTTTTCATGTGTAGCAAAACATGATGCAAATTTTTCATAATTGATTCCGCTACATTTGCTGCGTATGAAAAGGAATAACGACAATAGCATATTTATTAAAGTTCAATCTCAAATATGTCTTTTATTTGCTCTCAACTTGAAAATTAATATAGAAAACTTAAAAAGATAAAAACTTGTGATTATAGTTAACTGTTAGTGCAGTTTGGACAACTATCATTTCAGGTAATTATTTACAATTTAGAATATTACTTCAAATCTTAATAAAAATGTACTCATTATAAATGTACTCTATTTTCATTTTTTGCAAGTATTGAGGATTTTCTCAGCTTCGAATTTTTTGCTGCTCATTGTTCGTTCGGTTGAACTTCAACAAAATGCGGCAAAATGTATTTTTCGTCGAAAGTGCGTCATCTCATGTAAAATTTTTAACCAATAGCAACGAATTGCTGCCATAGCGTGTTGCATATGAAAAGTTAGCTTAAAGGGCATTCTACAATACGTTGCAAACAATCGTTGCCAGTTGAAATGTTTATTATTTCAGAAGCATAAATAATACCATTAATGCTTCTAATTGATTGTCGCGACAAACGTTTCAACTGGCAACGGGTGTTTGCATTGTAGAATAAATATAGAATTGTTGGTTAATGTTGGTTATGACAACTTTGAATCTGAATGAATTAATGATTCTGAGCAATGTGTCTGGTTTATGGATTTTTGGGAGTCCATCAATTTCAAAAATATCTAATATTTCGGAAGAATTTTTCATTACTTTTCGATTAATTTTTGACTCTGCGTATTTCTTCTTCGATAACTGCATTTATAGACAAAAGTTCGGTATGCCTATGGGATCACCAGTAATTGCAGACATTGTAAGTTTGTTATACTCTAACATGCTCTAAAATGCTCGTACCATAGCATTTACTCACTTTAACGCGCTCATTGAAGTGAGTAGAAACTATAGCAAGAGCACATTGAAGCATGCTGGAACATGCGACGTGAACAAACCTTGTATTATAAGATTTAGAGAAAAAAGCCTTGAACACTTATTTTTTCCATATACCTCTATATGTATAATATGTTGGTGACATTGCTATGAGAGAAAATATAAAATCACAGAAAGAACTAAACTATGTATATAGTTAAAAGAAAGTCGCAATTAAATTATAACCAATGTTATACAAAGGATAATAACAATGTATATTAATGTAAGACGGTCTCAATCTAATTACCAAATATTCAAATTAAGACGACTGTGATTTTATATTTTTTCAATTATATTATTTTAAATTGTGTATTTTTTGTAATTCAATTTGGATCACTTTTAAAAAGGACATATTTTGCTATTGTATAATATATCAGTAACTGTGTTAATTGCGACTTTTTTATGATTATATACTGAATTTTATTAAGTTATATTGTGTTCCATTAACAGATCTCTTGAGTATTATCTGCAACTTTACCAAATGACTATAATGTATGACTCAATTATATACCAACTGTGGCGATATTTATAAGATATTTATAAGAGGGATCATCAAAGATAATAAATCATGTTAATTCCTATTTATTTTGTAATTACATACGGTTAAATAATCATTTGTTCAAAATTAAGTTTACTTTTATTTGTACATTGAAAATGACACGATCGTTGTCGAAATATATATTTGTTATTTGAACATTAAATGTTATTGTTTGGCTCGTAGCCCTTCTTTTTTATTCTTATTTTTGATTTATTTTTATTGAGCATATTATCACTTATATATCAGAAAAATAATTTGATTTTTGTCATAGAGACTTTTGAACAATGATTATCCGATTGATTTCATTTTCAACACAATAAATAAACGTCTTAAATCATTAGTAGCATAAAAAAATGTTAAAGCAAAGAACTTTGACGGATATTCGCTCTAAAGATGTTAAGAAATCGTGGTTTTTGATTCCTTTTATGTCGAAAATTTCAATTAAATTTAAAAGGATATCATAAAGGATTTCGATGTAAATTTAGCATTTTTTAAATCTTAATTATTTTATCAAAACGCATAAGGATTCTTTACCTAATATGGCAAAAAAGAATGTTGTATACAAAATCAATTGCAATAATTGTGATACTTCCTATGTTGGCCAGACGAAGCGGACTTTAAAAACAAGAATCGCGGAACACCGAATTCGTAAAAATAATAACAATTATTCTGTTATTACAGAGCATAGATTGGAGTTGAATCATGATTTTAATTGGGATAATGCAGAGATTGTTGATAGCGAGTGTTTTTTATACAAGCGATGTATTTCTGAAATGTTACATATTCAGTTACAAAAAAATAGTTTAAATCTACAATCTGACAGTGAGTTTTTGCATCATGCATATATTTCTATTCTTAATAATTTGTACTAATTTTAAACCACGCGTTTCTTTTGTGGCTAGTTTTTTCTATACTGTAAATGGTTCGTGATCATTGTCTTTCGTTTTTATTGTCTATGCTTATAATAACATGTAAATTGAGTTTGAGTTGCCCGCGTACATGTTGGTGTCCCGTTTATATCTGTAACTTTGACTCATTCGATTGTTAATTGACCGTTGGCAAGCTAGATTGGTATATCTTGACTTTAAGTAAGAATATGGACGATCAACAAAACTATTTCTATTTATAATTATAACGTTTTCATGGTTTGACGAGTGAGTAGCTTGCCTTTTCATTTTTTCATTCTTTCTTTTGTAATTTACTAAGGTAATGATTTTGATCATTGATATAGAATTTATCTTCGATTTGTTGCCACTTGATTCGTGAACCTTGTGCCACAATGAATAGAGATGGATTGATTTGTCACTCTCTCGTCTAGCCATGTAAGATTCTACTTTGTGTAATAATGAGATACAGAAGATGACTCAAGTGTAAGCCGAAACATCTGATTTCATCGATTTCAAAATCTCTTTCTCGCACTTACAGCGAAAAAACTCTCATTAGCCCTCTTTTTGTTTATATTTTTGACATTTTATAATAGTTTAACTGCAAAAAATCATTTTTATTAAAGAAGAAAAATTCCTTGTAAATTGTTGTGCGACTGCTCAAAGATGTAAGTAATTAAGTTTTCCATGGACAGGTTTTTAGTGAACAAATACTTTTTGCAAAAACTAATGAACATTTCAGGTTTGCTCAGGGTTAGATTTGTTCGTTATTACGAGGGTTACATTTTACGAAAATTTTTAAACTTTATGTTTAAATCTCAATGAACAGAGAACGAATGAACAAAAATCTTTTGATTTTTTTTCTACTTAATTAATAGATCGATTTTAATGTTCCACATCTCATTTTGTAGGTATTTCGAATACCTACATTTTTCATACCGAACTTTTTTCCATACAATCAATATCTTTCCTTTTGTAAGCAAAAAACGTGCTTTTTGCAATTATTCGATCTTTTTCGCATATTTTCTTCACAAATCTCGAATCTCAAACATACGCATTTCTTTTCTGATGGCCTTTCGAAGATTTTCGTGAAGAGAAATGCTAGTTTATAATTTTTTTCTGGTAAAATCCTACTTCTACTGAACTATTCTTGCTACGAGTTTATGAAGGAGGTACATAACGCGCATGAAAAATCGTAAACAATTAAATATCTCGTAAACTGTTGCGTTTTAAAATGATTGATACTATTCTGGATTAATGGGAGAAGTATACTATTAATACAATTTATTAAATTATATGTTATTTAGAATACTCCTGGGATGCCGTGAGTCGAGATTGCCGAGAAAATATTTTTTGCTGTCGCTTGAAACAAGCGACTAGTGTGAGAAAGAGCTCGCTATTTCATTCACCCTCGACGGTGAGAACACGTATATAGGCTCGTACTTGTATGTGTGTTACAGCGCCGCACCACATAAATGGCTGAATTTGTAGGCGTGGAAAAGTGACGTTTTGACGAAATTTATGTTACACGCCATTTCGTCGTTATTTACTTAATTGTGAACATGTGACTGGTCTTGTATTTATCAAAGAAAAAAAATCGTAATTATCGATGAAAACTAAAGTTATCTTGGAATTTTATGTGTGAAAGCGTATATTTTACTCGTTTCAACAGCTGTCGGAGTGTGTTTCTGCCCGAATATAGGCTCACTTTACATGCCTTTTATGATCATTTATTTATTATTGACTATCAAAAGAGGAAAGAACAGTTTTCATCGATTTTTACAAGTGTTTTAAAGCGATCTCGTTTCGTTTCATCCAAATTGTCTTTATTTAAAAATGGCATGCAATAGAAATTAACGTGTCATTTCTCGCTTCTGACGTCACGATTCTAACGTGGTCGCCGTACTAATCAGGAGCCTTAATTCTTATAACTCGGGACTATGCCCGGTATTCATAGTCAGATCTTATATTCAAGACCGTATTAAGTACGGTCTTAAAAAGTCACGAACCAATCAGAAAGCTGCATTAGCGTCTTAAGACAGTCTTGAAATAAGACTCGACTATGAATGTGCGATCTCTGAAAAGCGGTAGGAGTGAGTACGAGGTCTTTTGGTTCTACAATAAATTGAAATTGATGCAGGTCATATTAACAATATTCTAATTTATTATTAAACTCAAAATTATTTAGTATTACAATATTTTAAGATAGTTGTAGCTATATTTGTAACTATTATCATTTTAACATTATAATTACATTTATAAGAGTAATCTAGTTTTCTTGAGTAATCTTGCATTTTTAATTTATCTTATTGTAGTATTTGTTTCTATAAACTAATTACTATTTATCAAAAAATTGTACATTGTGAAATGCGGTTGGTTACTTAAATCATTAATCGCAAATTATTAATTAGTTACAAGAGACAAGTATACATGTTTCTTCGCTAGAGTTAACCCATAGAGCGAGCGTAAGTCTGCCGTGTGTGCGTGTGTGTGTGCGCGCGCGCGCGTATGTGTAAACGGAGAGGCGATACGGGAATTAATTTAATTCGCGAATTATGACGAAAAAAGGGGAAAAGAGGTTATAGAAGAAATTTACGAGAATGAAATAGGGGTGAAGTGATCGCGAGTATTGGAGTATTGGAACGTGAGGGTGGCTGCCCAGTTATGGCAGTTCGTCTGGGTCAAAATAATCGGGGTTGATAATATAGGCACCTAATGGGAGAGGTTCTATTGCGCGGGAAAGTCTATCAATTAGAGACTCAAAAGAGTCATCAATGTGAATGAAAAATTCATTACGTGGAGGAGCGGGAAACTCTTCCAGAAATTCCATGCTCGAGGTTGAGCAGGTGATTGTGATCGAGAGGGACGGACTAGATAGAGGAGTCGGGAGTTAGAGATGGGATGTCTGGAAAGATTCGCTGCATCAGAGTGTCCGACAACGCGAGTGACGGAGATCGAGGAGAAGGAGGAGGAGAAGGAGATATCGTCTCTAACGCGTCTTGGTGAATCTGTCTCAAGCCGGCAAAGCCGGTGGTGGCAAAGGTGGTGAAGGTTTTAATGGAATCGCGTCCTCGGCTGAATCTGACTCCGAGAAAAGAGGTCTCAAGATATTCCTAGTACGCTTAGTCCAAGAGAGTCTCCGCACTTCGAGGAAGGCCCAGCTTCTAAGCCAACTTTTGTATGGGCGATTGAGTGTTAAGCGTGATAATATGGTTACGTTGGGTTAGACTTCGCAGTGAATATATATATATATATATA